TCCAAAGGGAACTGGGTCCAAATCCACTACCGCCCACACTCTCCTTTTCACCAAAGAAATGACTGAAACAAGCCACAGTCCAGCAGATTTCTAGCACATTTTTGCATTCCCACTTCCTTTTCACCCTCCTCCCACCCGACAGAAAGACTCATCTTTCCCCCATTCAGAATTTCATCCCATCTTGCCTCTCCAAGCTGCCAAAGAAAGGGACATTTGAAATACCAAGTTGAAGAAATCTCTTGTCAGAGTGTTATTACCAATCTGACTCCGCTTGGCAGTTATGATGGATAGCTCTAATCACATGCCTAATAAGTATCAAAAGTTAATATGTTGTTTGGGTAGAGTACGGATAATGTCTGGCCTCCAGAGCACTCTCTAGCAATTAAATTATCGATTTCAATAACTGAATATCAATGCACATGGTCCTCTCTGTCAGTTAGGAGCAGGTGGAGGGCTCCTTTGTAAACTGCGTAACTGGCACAAGAGACATGACACAGCTGGGAAGAATGTACTATGCTGAGTCCAATTTCTGGCAAACCAGTGATTTTCCTGAGACCCACCACGGTGAACACAGAGCCAGTGGTGAACCCCAAGAACTGCAGAGAGAGGTCCCCGCCCCCACCCAAAACAAACAAACAAACAAAGAGTCTAACCATATAATGCCCGGTTTAAAAAGAATAATTCGAACATTTCTCAAGTTTGTGCAGCTTTTAACCTCTCAAGTGTCTATTAAATGAACTTGGAGTGAAATGTGGGGGAAGAAGATCCCCTGGGGTAAGCAGGGCCCAGCAAGCACTGTGGGTTTCTCCAGGAGAGAGCACCAGCTCACCCCAGATCCATCATCCTCCGCCACCATCACTTTCAATTTCAGTTGCCCTTTTTATATTTCTTTTGTGACAAAGTGCTCTGTCACTCTCCTGGTCCCTGCCACCATCCGCACTTGGAGGAACCTCAGCTCTGGGAAGGGGAAATAATAGGAATGGCTCATACAGACGTTTTTTAAAATTCCTTGTAAGTGGTGTATACCAGCATATCTCAACTGAGGGCCATTTGCCCTTATCACTGGGTCTCCGGGACATGTCGAGAGACCACAGGTAACCACAGGTAAACACCACACAGATGGGAGGGCAAGGTCCAAGACTCGGGGACCAACCAGACTAGGAACAACAGGTGTGCCAGAGAGACACCCCCCCCCACCCCCCACCAGGATACAAAGCTGAAGGGCATCACTGGTCTACACCATCCTTAATTCTGGCTCCTTCCGAAAGGGGGCGCTCCAGACACCACCTGTAGGTCTGCAGGATGAAAGCTTGGGGAAAAGGGCACCAGCACAGGAGTGGGGCGCAGTGGTGAGCGCTACCTCGCAGAGGATGAGACTGCCCGTCGGGTCCCTGCCCCACCTGCTAGAGGCGTCCCGTGGGGGGGAGGGGGCACTGCTGTTAGGGTCCCTGGCACCGCAGCCCCAGGTGATCTTGGGCAGGTACGTGCAAGCATCCGAACCAAGAGTGTGCAAGCCAGCGCCGCATGTGAAGGTGGGACCCCATTGGAAGGCGGGCGGGGCATGCAGTTCGCCCTAGGCCTCCAGGAACAAACCCAGGACCTGGATAGCGCTGCGCTGAAATGAGGGCAAAGAGACTCTTGCCCCCTCCATTGGTTCCAACTAAGTAACTCTTAAAAATGGTCACCATCTGGGGGCTGGAGCAATAGCACAGCGGGTAGGGTGTTTGCCTTGTACGCGGCCGGCCGACCCAGGTGCGATTTCTAGCATCCCATATGGTCCCCCGAGCATCGCCAGGAGTGTGCAAAGCCAGGAGCAACCCCTGAGCACTGCCGGGTGTGACCCAAAAAGCAAAAAAAAAAAAAAAAAAGTCATCATCTGACCCAACGAATGCAAAAGTAAGTAATTGATTATCATTAACTATTAAAAGTCACTATCAAATAGTAATGAATACATATTAGGAGTAGCTAAAGATCACTAACGTCCTCTGATTTTCCCTCAGGAATATCTCCCTCCCAATGATCCATTCATCCAATTAGAAGCGCAGTAAGAACTGAATGTTCAACCTCAGTCAGCCCCTCAGAGTAATCTTGTAGAGTAATCTGTGGATAAATTAATACTGGACTGAAGTAGTTGGCTACTTGCCAACACTCAGACCAAAATTTCCAGAAAAAGGGGCTTCCCATGTAATTGGCTGCACCATCTTCATTGATGTAATAGGAAAGTCTTCTGCTCCAGTTCCCCATGTTTCATAACCTTCTATTTGGATTGATGAGCTGACAGTAGGTAGAGATATACAGACACCAAGAACACTAGGCCACATTCGTTTGTCTTCTGTCAACACAATCAGTCAATGGACAAAAATGGGTGTAAATCAGAAAAATGCTTTCATTTAGGAGCATAAAAGACATTCTTCTAGTGAGCCAACGACCCCTCGAGACACTCTTGTGAATGTTACTTGCTCTTAAAGATCATCTCAAAACATACCATGAAAATGTCAGTTGCCAAACACCATCCAATCATTTAGAATGAATATTCTAGGCTGCGGCTATCACTCAATAGGCCAGAGCGCATGACTTGCTGTGGGGGGCCTGAGTTTGTTTCCCAGTACCATATGGTCTCCTGAACACAACCACGTCTAGCACCTCCTCCCAAGGAAACGAAGCTGAACTAACATTCTAACACCTGCAATACTGCATTAAATTGCAATATTGGTGTTACTGTCAATTTGAGGCCAATATTTTTTGGAAAACAATATTCTCCATAAATATCCATGATTTTGTATCTGTCCAGATTAACCTATGTAGAAGATATGTGCATATACATACCTACATCCAGATACAAAAGGTGTGCAAATAATGTTGCTGAATTGAATGAGATCAGAGTCTCCCTACAATTTATTCCAGTGAATAACTTCAAACAAAACATTCTTTCATATAATGCAATGCAATGGAGTGCTGTATATATTTAGAATATATGTATATAATAAAGTAGCATATAATTAAATACAGTTAAGTAGTAAAAGTCACTATTGCTTCACAGCTCTTCCACTTTTTAGATCTGTAACTTTGGGAAAGTTACTAAACTGTTCTTAAATTTTAGTTTCTTCTGCTGCAACTAGCAGTCCCTACCACCACAGGAATTTATGACAGACATATCTGGAATAAAATCTGGTACAGAACTCAACAGGTGTTAGGTATAATTCAAACCAATTCCTGTAATCCACTCAGCTGGTGCTAATGACTAATGGCTATGCTCCGTGTTATTATTAACTAATTTTCAAAATCACAGTTACATAATAAGCCAATTCTAAGAAAGCAAGAATAGAAAGGTCTTGGAAGGCAGGCGGGCAGGCAGGCAGAAAGGAAGGAAGGAAGTTGTGGGGAGGGGAGGGGGAGATAATGAAAACAGTTAAGACTGCCATCAGCCCCATACCCATGAAAAAAGTAGAGTAAAACTGGGATTATTTTTCTCCCAACATCCAATTAAGTCACATTGTTGGGCTTTGTTGAGTATAGGGAAAAGAAGGAAAAAAAAGAAACTGAGCAGAACCCTAGCAAAAGCGACAAGGCTGTACTTCCAGTTTTGAAAAGCCTTCCATTCATTTTCAAACTTTAGTTCCCCAAACTTTAAGTCACTGAACCTCAGCCCCACTATTGCAAAGCAGCTTATAGACAGCTATATCATTGACCACACTCTGTGCTGGGACGCTGACAACCTCTATCCACACATACGTTTGTAAGTACATGCACATATTTCAGGAACGAAAACAAAACACCAAGCTACTGTACTTCAACCTGCCAGTAATCCTGGAAACCCTGAGGAAAAAACCCTGGGGGTTTCACCGGAGCTTTCCAAGAGGCATAGCGCAGCAGGTGGGACAGTGAGTGACAGTCCCCGCCCACCAACGCCCAGTTTTCCCCTCCTGGCCACTGTGTCAGAGACGATCCTGTAGCAAAGGTCTTTCCCTTTGCATGAGGGAAATTTAGAACATGAAGACACTGCCCCACCGCTTAGGAACCATGAGAATTTACTGAGCTTTCTTAACTGGATGAAATAGTCCTGCATTTCCCCTCGCCTTCCCTATGGGACGCGCCTCCCTCTGCTCCTGCTTATAAAATGACAGTTTACCTTAGGCAGATCGCACCTCCTTCTCAATAAAGTAGTTTCGCCTTGGCAGCGAATCATTTAGGCTTGGGGCCGCACCCCAGTGTGCTCAGGCTTACTTCTGGCTCTCTGTGCTGAGGGGTCTCTCCTGGCGGGGCTCGGGAACGTTATGGGGTGCGGGAGATGGAACCAGGCTCAGCCACGTGCAAGGCAAGCGCTCTCCCAGCTGTAACAATCCCTTCCTTCCGTTAAAAAAAAAAATCTTTTTTTAAAGCCTATTGAAGCCACCAGTGTGCCCAGCGTACTGGCCTGGCCCTTATTACATCCTCGTGACATTGGAAGAAGCTTTATATAGCCTTCACTGGAAAATAGTGACAAGGCTGTTCTTCCAGTTTCGAAACTCCTGACTCACGGTTTCAGAATCTGCTATAAGCATCGTTCCTAAATATCGATAGCCCTGGACATACTTTAAAGGGAACAATTTAAATGCATGAAATTATCTAAGTCAACTTCAAAGGACCGATATACTCTGCAGTGTGCAATTTCCAGAAGGCTTGAAAAATTAGCCGGCTTTCCTGTGGTCACCTCTAGCAAGGAGCCGTTGCAAGGCAAACCCCCGCGTTTCAAATGCTCCTTCTAAGTTGCATGGTCCAGAGTCGGAGCGCGTATGAGGAACCCGGGCTTGACTGCCAAGCACGGACCGTTTTTGCAAACTCCTCTCCCTAGGAAGACAAGTGTCCCGTTCCCAGGAGGGGTGGCAGCCGGAGTCACTGGCTTCTGCCAAAAAGATAGAGAAGAGGACAGCGAGGCGCGCGCGCACCCTGGCAGCCAGGTCTGCACCGGCGCGCGCGGGGTGTCTGCGAGGGGTCGGGGAGGAAGCGAAGATCTGCGGTACCTTTTTGGAACTTTTCTGCGCTCGCTTAGTTGCAGAACTACGCGCTCGGGGAGCTCGGAAGCGCGTCTTCTCCGGAGCTCGAGGCCGGGCGGACGCGCCGCTTCCCCGCCGCCCGCGCTGTCGGGTGCCCAGCGCCGCCCGGTGCTCGCCGGCTGCTGGCCCAGCACCCCGGGAGCACCTGGCGGGGACCCGCGCGAGGTGCGCCCCGCGGCAGGGGAGGGCGAGCACCCCCGGGAGAGGACCAGAGGGGCTGGAGGGGCGCACGCTGCAGCACCACCGCGGAAAACTGGAGTCGGCGCCAAACGCTCCCCAGCCGAGGGCGGGGCGCAGCCGTCGGGGGGGAGCCGGGTGGGTCCCGCCGGCCTGGGAGGGGCCCGAGGCTTGGGCGCTCGCGGGATGGGGGTGGGGGGAAGCCCCCCAGCCCTTCCACCCTCCACCACCTCCCGTCCCAAAGCGGACCCGCCGGAGTCCCGGGGTGTGGGTGTGGGGAGGGGGCCGCAGGTAGCGCTGCCGGCCGGGGTGCCGCCACCGGCTTGCGTCCAGGGCGATGGGCTGGGACCTCCGCGGGTAAAGCTGGAGTTCCCTGAACCCGGGAGTCCCAACCCTTCTTCCCCCCCACACACCCCCACCCGACGAAAAGAAAAGTGAAAGAGAAAAAGAGCCGGGAGCAGAGGCGCAGATAAACATTCCCCAGGCGAGGCCGGGGGAGGGGCGCGCTCAGGGAGGACGTGCGCAGGTGGCCAGGTGCTCCCCGCATCCCCACCCCCACCCCCGGGCGGCCCCGCCGGGCACGTTGTCACCGCGGTCGCCCACCGCAGGGTGCAAAGCCGAGGGGGGTGGGGGGGGAGAGGAGCCGCGAGGGGACGCTCGCTTTGCTGTCCCCACCCCAGCTGGGGACCCCTCACCCGGCGTGAGAAGGGCACCGGGAGCTGCAGTCTTGGGCGCAGCGCCGGGAGCACCAGGGGAAGAAGGTGTTGGGAGGGGATTGGGCGGCTGTTCCCGACTGTCCTGGCCCTGGGCGCGACCACGAGCCCGGACTCAGGACCAGGAAGGATCCCCAGTGACCGTTTTGCGCCAGGCAGTTGGCAGGACCTTGGAGGAAAAGAACCTGTTGGCGCATCCCGCTGCGGGGCCCGCGTGGCTGGAGGCAACGGCGTGGAAGGTCGTGACTGCCCTCACTCACCTGTGCAGAAAGGGGCCGAGTGCGCGGTGGTTGCAAGGCCGGCGCGCCACACCTGCGCAGCCCGAGGCCTCATTCGTACCGGCTCGGGTAAATACGTCGGGGAAGCCCGCGCACGAGTCACCTGCTGTCATGCCCCAAGCAAAGGTGCCGCGGGCAGTTTGCCAGAGCTTCTGCACAGAAGTAACCACCAGATTCCCCGAAACCCCACTTTTTAATGCAGCCTATATAGATTAATAATAAAATCGAAATGAACGGATATATCTAGTGCAGTGGGTTCACCTTGAACGCAACTGCGTCTGCCTTGCTCGCAGCCGACTCAGGTGCAACCCCCCCCACACACACACCTCATTCATTCATTCTCCTGAGCCCCCCAGAAGTGATCCCAGAAAGCAGAGCCAAGAGTAAGCTCGAGCAGACCCAATAACGTCTCCATTGTGAGACTTGTTGTTATTGTGTTTGGCATATGGAATACCTCATGGGTCCTTGTCCAGGCTTTGCCGTGTGGGCGAGATACTCTCAGGCAGCTTGCTGGGGCTCTCCAAGAGAGGCGGAGGAATCGAACCTGGGTCGGCTGTGTTGGCACGATGCAAGGCAAACGCCCTACCCGCTGTGCTATCACTCCAATCCAGCAATAATATAATAAAATAGAAGATTAACTGTGATTCAAATACTACAGGTGACCACAGAGAGTACGGCTCAGCAGAGAAAGCATGCCTTGCATGATCCCTGGCACCTCAAAAATCAAAGCAGAGTGGGAGAGACCATATAGCAGGGAGTGTCCTAGCAGGCAAAGCTTGTCAGGTAGATCTGTCAACCTTGGTTTGATTGGTTTGATTTATGACACCATCTGGTAGGGTCACCCAGCATCCCCAGGAGTGATTTCTGAGTACACTGTCCAGTGGTAAGCCTGATCACAGACCGGTGTACCCCATAACCAAAAATAGTCATACGCAGCTAAATATAAAATTACAACAAATTTTCACATAAAAGCCATGTTTTTCTTTTAATGAAGTTAAGCCCTTATCAACAGAATAACAGGTTTTTTCATGTAAAAACCAGCTTTACAACCACTCTGAATTTCACCATAGTTGAGGAACTTGGGATCTTTTTATCTCTTTCCAAATAAAGATAGTGTTGACTCTCCTGGTGATAATGCCAGGGAAGTCCAACTCACCAGCCTTTGCCTAACAGAACACTGCCAGCCTTGGTGTGAGGATGAGCTTGTATTGTGAGAATTTATGGGCCTGCAGCTGGGTGTGAATTGGTGACAAAGGAAACAGCAGCCAACTGAGGAATCCAGGTGTCCTGTGGGTTGAGAAGTAGACTGTGGCCCCAGTCTAGGGCGAAGCTGTCCTTAGCTGGAGCTCAAAAGCGGTGGCTTCCACAGTCTAACAGCTGTCCCAGGCCCGAAAAACTCAGTCTGATGACAGTCTTAGCATGTCTGGAACGTTCTCAAGCTACTGGAAAGTTTTTACCACAGTTTGAAATGGAAAGGAATTTTGCTTCCTAGAGCTAAGATTTAAAGCACAAGTTGAAGATGTGAGAATATTAAAATCGATCTACAAAGAGTAATCCGATGTCCACGTAAGTTCTGGGACAAGGTGAAGGGGGCAATATATAAAGTATTTAGTCAGAAGGGACATAAAAGCAACACAAATAACAGTAGAGTAAAATTGAAAATGATTACTGTTGGGGCTGGAGCGATAGCACAGTGGGTAGGGCGTGTGCCTTGCACATGGCTGACCCGGGTTCAATTCCCAGTATCCCATATGGTCCCCTGAGCACCACCAGGAGTAATTCCTGAGTGCAGAGCCAGGAGTCAGGAGTGTATCACTGAGTGTGACGCCGCCCCCCCCCCCCCCCAGCCAACAAAAAAAGCAAATGATTATAGCATTCTGTGATGTGCCTTGTTCTGCTCTGGGCCTCCCCAAACTGTAGATTAAATTTGCTTTCTTAATTTCAGGAGAATTTTATATGCATATGTGTATATGAATATGTGTAATGTATCTATATATGCATACATATACATATATATTGAAATACATAGTATTTGAATTGGAGATGGAAGTATCTAAAATTCACTGAAGGTGGGGTTTCAGCATTACTTGTATGGGGGCCCAGTGCTCAAACAGAATACCCTAAGAGATGCAAATTTTATTTAAAGTTACCACAGGCTATTCTGTAAGAGATTTAAAATTACTCACACCAATGAGCAAATTCCTGCACACAAATTAAAAGCAAAGACAAAGATGGATGAAATAATTTTAAACTGCCTTAAGATAATAAAATTGAAGTGTGGAAAGAAATAAAAATTAACTAAACCTCACAGAAGTGACCATAATAACCTTTTTTGAGTTTAAAGAAACAACCATAAGGACCATAGTTTAATGGAATTTGTAAGATGCGACCCCAAAGAAGCATTGGCCAATGGGGTAGCTGTCTTGAAAATAAAATACAAGAACTGGAGAGACAGTCCGGTCCAGTAGGTAAGGCAATCGTTTTGCACGTGCCCAACCCGGGTTAGATCCTCAGCATCCCATAGGGTCCCCCTGAGCACTGCCTCAAAGTAATTTTTGGGTACAAAGCCATGAATAACCAACCCCTGAGCATCACTGAGTGTGAGTCACAAACAATAAAATAGGACCAGAGAGATTGCACACGGGTTAAGGGGCTTGCTTTGCACATGGGACTCCCCTGAGCACTGCCAGCTATGACCCCACCTGCCCCGTTAAAATAAAATAAAATGCTAACAAATGCGTTCTCTGGCTTTTGAAACGATATGGAAGCAGTTAGGTGCTGCTGCAGATGAGGCAGGAGCGGCCGCGGCTGGCCTCTGGTCCTTTGCAATTCCCAGGTTCTTCGATATTTTTGAGAATGAAGATACTGAATGATAACGATGCTCAGACTCATGGAAATTAGAAAAGATCATTGGAAAGTAGGAGAGAAAAGAAAAGGAGCTTCGCAGGCTGGAGCGATAGCACAGCGGGTAGGGCATTTGCCTTGCACGCGGCCGACCCGGCTTCGATTTCCAGCATCCCCTATGGTCCCCCAGCACCGCCAGGAGTAATTCCTGAGTGCAAAACCAGAAATAACCCCTTAGCATTGCTGGGTGTGACCCAAAAAGCAAAAAAAAAAAAAAAAGTCAGGGTTTCTGTAGCCCTTTTTAAAAGCCCTTTGCATTTCTCATCAATGACAAATGCGAGAGAAACAGGGAATCTCCAGGGTGGTCTTCTGTTTGAGTCCTTCTGCCCATCTGCCTCAGGCACTGTCCATTATCTCAGCCTCCCTGTGAGCACAAGCTCTGGGGAAGAGTTTTAGGTTGGACAGTTGTTAACTCCCTGTTTATCAGAAAATTCCACGAATTTGCAGGGAGTCAAAATTTTGCAGGCCAGCCAAAAGCGGGACTACTCCCAGTAGCTGGCAAGAGTAAACTGAGGCCTCCTCTTTCATTGGTTTCCCCCATGATTTTTATCCGGGGTTGTGACTTTATTATGCACTTCCCAAGAACAAGTCGCAGAGCAAGGACATTCATTAGCTGATCTTTGAAAACCCTGATCTTGGAACCCATAAGTTTTTTTTACCTTGGGCACCCCTTGGCCTCAGGGGCCTCACGTCTCTTGTTCCTTGGTATTTCTGGCACTGGACAATATTCTTTCTCTTAATATTTAAATTCCAGGTCCAGGGGAAAGCCCAAAGGGCTGGAGCACATGCCTGGAATATTACAGGCAGGGGCTCCTGGCAGTGTGGCTTTGATGACCCCCGCACACTCTGGCTTGAGTAACATCAAGTCAGCAGCAAGCACCCGGCTCTCAGGCCCTTGCACAGCCGTGCTGAGAAAGGCAGGGACTAATCATAGGGACTCCTGAGCACTGCTTGGGAACCCCCCCCCCCGCAGCCATATATTATGTATTCAAATGCTTCTTA